CTCCTCTCTCTTTTCAGAGGTTTCATGGGAAAGGAATGGGCCACATTCCCTATGTCTGTTTAAAACAGCTAGCTCAGAATGCTATATAAGTAGAGTTTGGAATTTAGACCTTGGTCTAGAGCTGAGTTTTAAGAAATTTAACCCAGAAGATATAAATTTGCTGTAGACTTCTAAAGTATTTTGATAGGCATCTACTGTCCTGAACTGTCAGTTATGTTCCAACTAGTCCAGTTCGGGTGGGAAAAATGCTTACAAGCAGCAAGAGACTCACACTTAGTTAGGCAGTGGGAGACTTTACAGGAAGCTCACTGTTTCTGATGCCAGACCATTTCTTACCCTTGGAACCACACAGGTGCTTCAACAAAAGACATATTCAAGACTGATATAGACCTTGCTTCTGTAAACCCACAAAACAAGCCCCCAAAGCCTGCATACGGTCAACAGTTTGCTTTGCTCAGTGTAGAGATTCTCACAGATAGGTTGGCTTTCGTGGGTTGTTGACTGAAGCAAGTTGTTGTTTAGATAGGCTTAAAAATCATTTCTATGTTTGCCTCTATCGAAACCAAAGTTAGAACTGAAATTGATTGATTAAATACATCAAAGGCTAGTTTAGGCATTTATTGGCTACTGATTGTACATCAGTTAGTCCCTCAGAGTATAGGAATAATTTCTCATTTTTGATGCACATAAATTTAGCATCATACTAGTTTCCAATCATAGTAGTTCATTCAAACCTTTTATATTGGCCTATCAACACATGTGCTGACATATCCATATGACTGTAAATTAATATCTATATATTATCATAAGAATATTCGTAGTTGCATAGCTACCCACCTGTTGTTGAACGTCTAGATCTTTTCAGTTTATATAGCTATCTCCTAATTGTTGAATGCTTGGATTTATTTTAGCTTTTCACTATCATTTTTAGCAGTGCTATAATATACCTTCTGAATAGCTTTCTAAAGGCTATAGTTACCAAAGAGAATTTAGTAATATTTCTCTTTATTAAAATAAAAATATCATTTGTAGGGTAAAATAGCTTAGGTATATCATTTGTCTAACTCAGTTAACTCATGCAAAAATCTATTATGCTTTCATGTGCTTTTAACTGACAAATCAGGCTAATTAACTTAGTCTTATTTCCTATCTATGGCCATATATGTATGAACATATTAGGATTCAGCAGTGTAAAAAAACTGATGGATTTTGAAATGAGGACTACAAATCATAGAATTCTGTATGTGATAAAATGAAAAACAAAGAATCTGGAATGAATGGGAGTACTGGGGGTTCTATAGTTATCCTGCCATTTCCTGAGAAACAATCATCAATGTGCAGGAGTTATTTAAGTGAATCACTAAACCACTAGTACCTGGAAGCCAACCATGGTGGATGTATTTACTCTACAGAACCTGGAAAATGCTATATAAATAAAAGCTTTTCGTTGTTTTTTTTTCAAAGAACCAGCTCACCAGTCTATCTCTGGATAACAGCATCAGGCAGCAAAGTTGGGAGTTGGAACAGTGGCATGAATTTCATGGTTGCTGTTACTATTGCAGGATGCTAATGTGAAAAAGTAAGGCATTATGTTGGCTTTCCTCTGCATGGTCGTGAAAGTCATTTCTTCAAAGGAAGACACCCAGAGGAAGAAAGTAGGGGATCTGACTGAAAGTGCTCAAGAAGAAAGCCAAATGTAGCAAAATCCACGTCCTTCGTTTTAGTTATTCTGGTTTACAAGCTTCTGTTCTGCACAATTTCCTTCCTAGCTAACTTTTATTTTCAAAATATTTTTAGGTAGAAATATTTCAAGTATAAATTATTATATTTTGACCGTTTTTTAAAAAATAGGCATCCTTTAAATGTTAGTAGACCATTTCAAGATAGTAGTTATGGATATTTTTAATTCTTCTCTGCACGAAGAGGTTCCTCTCCCTACCAGAACATGAAAGAGAAGAGAGAGGCACCATCTTGGTAAAACAAGAAATATCCATAATCACACACTAAGAAGGGCCCCTGTGTAAGAAAAGATTGAGCCAGAGATTTTACATCCAGCAAAATTGAGTTTCAAACTGTTACCAAAATGTAAGAGTAAAAGATTGTTCTCTGACCCCTACGTGAAAGCTCTACTAAAAATGACTTCCACATAAACAAAGGTGATGTAAAGACTGAGGTGAGCATTAAATGCATTTCTTTTGTGGAATCAAGACCAAATAAAAGACAGAAGTGACAGCACCACATGTAACATCTCCATTCTGTGAGTGAACAGCTCAGAAAAAAAGGGACATGCCAAACCTCTGAGCACATTCATTAATATTCCTAGTTGTTGAGGGTAATATTAGTATTGCAACTCTGAGGCTGTCATGTGTTATAGCGTAAGACAAATGTCTAATTATGAGATATAGTACTTCAATAATCTCTTATACTAAAGAACAAGATTCCTGATTCAGGATTCTTGGATGAACAGATGCAAATAAAGGAGTTCAGTGAAAAGCCTGCAGTCCTGTATTTGAGTATTTAAATTGGAAATATCAGCAAGAATTAAGCAAATATTTTATCACATACATACTTTTTTACATATTTTACATGCATACACATGTACTGGCACACACATGCACACAGAGTACTAGCCCTACCCACTGAAAAGACATAGAAGAATTGGCAACTCAGTATTACTCTCAGAACCAGTGCTTCTTAGAGAGATGCTCAAATATATGTCTGGGTTAAGCAATGCTTTTAGAGTTGGGCATGGGGTGCTTCCCTGCAATCCCAGTACTTGGGAGGCAGAAGCAGGAGAATCATTGAAAGTTTAAGGGTAGCTTGGACTGCAAACCCAGTTCTAGGCCAGTCAAGGATACATGGCAACACCCTGTCTCAATGAGAGGGGAGGGGGCGGAGAGGAACTTGGAACATCTTTCAGAAAAAGAAATGTGATAAAGGTATATTAGTTATTTGCCTGGGTTTTTGTGTATTTGTGGTATGTGTCAGGCTTTTTTGAAATTTTAATTTACTTTCTCACATTTACTTTCAAGCCTACTTTTATATTTTTCTTGTAGAGAATCTCCCTTGCTCACAGTTTATATAAGCTCAGGCCCTCCTTGTACCACATGGCATGATGAGAGTTCCTCAAGAAGCTAATGGAGTAAATGTAGCAGAGGGAAAATTACTTTAAAAGATAGTAGAAGAAAACGTCCCTCAAATAAAACTTGCATCTTTATACTATGTCTCTAGGAAGTACTGGTAAGCTTCAGTTATCATGAGAATATATTTAGTAAAGTTATTGGGCTATCAGGGATAAAGAATTCCCATAGAATTTACCATAGTAACATTTAATAACAAGACAAAGTGAATAGTTATGATGAAGTTGTGCAAGTCATCCTAAGAATTCAGCTAATTTGTCCAATAACTACAAAAGTAACAGAAGATTGTCTCAAGAATGTAAATTCTCAGATTCAGCAACTCTCATTTTGAAAAGATGCCGGGGACCTACTGTGTGTGAGGCCCTACATACAACCCAAGCACCACAAGCAAGCAACAAAACTGTATGGTGAAATTTGGCTAATGAAATCTCATGTATAGAGAAGATGCAGTTAAAGAATTCCTGATGTGCTGAATCAAATTAGAAACATTAATATAACCAAGACTCATATGAGTACAGAGCATAATATAAGTATTTTGAATCTTGACATTGTAAAGTTGATCATTGAAAATTAAGAAATGAAGGCTGAAGAAATATTAAAATAATTAAGAAAAAAGTTGGCAGAGGGGCTAGCAACATGGCTTATTGGGTAGGGGCACTTGCTGCCATGCCTAATGAACTGAGTTTGAGTCCCAGAATCCATATGATAGAAAAGAATGAATTCCCACAAGCTGCCCTCTGACCACAAAACACAGGCCATATCATGTATTCCCCCTCCCCCAAGTAAATAAAGAAATGTTAAATTTTTTAAAGAAGAAAGCTAGTGGAACATGCTTGCCAGGATTGCAGTGAATTTGAGACCAGCCTGGGCTATACAGTGAGTTCAGGGCCAGCCTGGACTACATAGAGAAATGCTGGCTCAAAAGTTTTAAATCTTTTAAAAAGCTGATCTGTCATTCCTACATTCTGCCATAACCATAAAAAGAAAGACTCATAAGAACATGCTATACAAAATCTAGTTACAGCTCCATTCAGTCAGCTTGACAGGGGATTGTCACTAGCCCTCCTCACCTCTCAGTGGGATGTGTTCATCTTGGAGTTACCAGGCAGCTTACTCTTCACCCTTAGTGAAAGCATGATCAGCTCATGAGGAGAGAGTGCTCAGAAACTTTCAAAGATTTGATTTAAAAATATTTTATTTATATTTTATGTGTATGCGTGTATTGCCTGCATGTAGGTAAGTGCACCCGTGTTGTGCAATGCCCGAGGTCAGAAGAGGCTGTTGGATCCCCTGGAACTGAAGTTATGGACAGTTGTTAGCTGCCATGTGGGAGCTGGGAATTTTTTTTTTTGTGCAATGCCTGTGGAGGACAGAAGAGGCTGTTAGATCCCCTGGAACTGGAGCAGTTGTCAGTTGTTAGCTGCCATGTGGGTGCTGGGATTTGAACCCAGGTCTTCTGTAAGAACAGTCAGTATTCTTCTGCTGAGCCATCTCTCCAGCCTCAAAGATTTGATTTTTTTAAAGATTTATTTTTATAATTTAGAATTATATGTATGCATGTATAGGGGGTAATGTGCACATATATACAGGTGCCCACAGAGGTCAGAGGTGTTGGATCTCCTTGAGCTGGAGTTATAGGCAGTTGTGAGCCACCCAGCATGGGTACTGGGAATTGAACTCTGTTCCTCTGGCAGAACAGAAAGTACTATTAGCCACTGAGCCATTTCACCTTGATATGTGCTTTTTAGCACCACAATACGATAAGGATCACCAGTAAGATACAGTGACCTGGTTTGCTTCAGTAAAGAGCAGAGGGATATGGCTGCAAGAGTTCTTATCAGTCCTTTCCTCGCTTTTTAGAGTCTGATATTTCTTGTTCGAGACTGGAGCTTCCCGTATGAATTTTCATATGGAGCTGATGGTGGTGCCAAATTCTTGGAAAAACGTCTCAAGGTTTGTTAAATAGTTAGGTGCATGCAATTACCCCAGGACCAATCTAGAATTATCTTTGATGAATGACTTGATGAATACTCAGGAGCCACAATTTCATTTGACCCTCATAGTATCTCGACTAATAACCCAAAATTTTGCTTAAGAAACTACTTTTCAGAATTATGATTTTTAAATATTATCAATAACTTTGAGATAGATCATTCTTTTTTAGATATGTAAAACCCTACTTGTTCCAAAAGGTAAGACTTTTACTCTGGAGAAGTAAATCAGTTCAAGACCACAGTGTACATATCTAGATTTCATAGTTTAAATTTTTAAAATTTTTATATGTATGAGCATTTTGCCTGCCTATATGTAAGTGTACCTGTGCATGCAATGACCTCGGAGGCCAGAAGAAGGTGTCAGATCCCCTAGAACTGGAGTTACAGATGATTCTTAGCCGACAGGTGGATGCTGGGAACAGAGCCTTCTACAAGAGCAATAATGCTCTTAACCACTAAGCCAGCTCTCTAGCCCCTAGATTCATAATTTAAAAGCAGTTTAAATAAGCACCTATTTTTTAAATTCTCCAAGTTAATCTTGGAACATTTTGCATGACAGTAGAAGGTCCTCTACTTGACGTCATAATAGCCAACACTGTATTAGTTACACTGAGCAGATACTACAAAAATACTGCAGACTGTCAAATGCGTATCTAAAAGCAAGTGGGGGTGTTTCAGCTTGTATGAAATGCCAGCTATTCAGATTCCTTTCTAGAATGTGTGAGCCTACCAGAAGATAAAAAGCTGCTTAAGTATCTTCTGAAAAAATAAGACCATCTTCTGACCTGTGTTTCCTTTAAATGCCTTGAATTGCAAATTGAGTTTGTAGGAGCTTAAGTAAAGCCCCACTAATTGGCACTAAAAATTGGGAGGTCCACCTGAGTTCATGTAAGGGCAGAGGCTTGTAAATTGCGATTAACCGTGCCTGCCATGCCTTTGCTACACTCAGGGCTGTGTGGGCAAATTCACCCACGACTTTTTCCTTAGTCACAGTCACGTCATGTCATCTTCGTCATTATGGGATCATACAGGCAAAGCAAATACAGGATGCCACAGAAATCCTTTGTTAATTTATGTCACAAGAAAGTTTAAGTCCAGAATGATTTGCTGCAGGTCTCAGGGAACCAACATGAAGAACTGCAGAATGTCCGAAAGCACATCCATTCCTGTTTTACCAACATTTCCTGTTTTCTGCTACCTCATCCTGGCTTGAAAGTAGCTACCAATCCAAACTTTGATGGGAAACTAAAAGGTTTGTCTGCCTTTTAACAATATGTTTGCATCACTTTTCTGATTATGGAAATGTCATTTTACCTCATGGGTTTATGGCTGCTACTTTAGTGTTTCCACTAATGGGAGGCAGGTAACTAGAAGTTGGCGGGGGAACTGGGAATCCAGGCTTGGTGCTAGAGCTGGCTTTGGTCAGCTGTAGGAATTCATTCCATAGTGCTGACTGAAACTAGCCCAAATCCTGCATCCGTGCAGCAGGCCGTCGCCCCCACCCTCTCATCTCTGTGCTTGAAAACTGCTCCTTACTGCCTGTGCGTAGTTCTCCTTATTTATAGTAAAAGGGAAAATGTCTATATTATTGGAATGTTGTATGTTGAATTATGTAATTAGGGATTGAAAGAAAAATTGCATTCAGTACTGAACTCAGTTTCTTTAAAATGGCTACTAAATAATTTAATTATAAATTACTTAAAACTGCTAAAAATTGAAATCCTCTCTGGATCAGGGTGAGTGTCTTTAAAAGAAAAAAAGCCCTAGAATGTTTGCAGCTAGACTCCACTTCAGCACGTAATTATCTCTTCAACGTAAGTTGACTGTTTTAGGATTCCTCAGACCGACTTTTTTTTTTTTTTTAATTTTATGTGTATGAGTATATTGCCTGCAAGTAAGTGAGTGCATCCGTATCGTGCAGTGCAGCGGAGGTCAGAAGAGGCTTCGGATTCCCCTGGAACTGGAGTTAAGGATGATTCGCAGCCGCCATGTGGGTGCTAGGTATCGAAGCCAGGTCCTCTGCAAGAGCAGTCAGTGCTCTTAACCACTGAGCCGTCTCTCCACCCCCCCACCTCAACTTGTTTTTCAAAAGCATGGGAGTGGAGGTTGGGGTCTTCAGAAACAGAAGTTAATGTTCCTAAGAGACGTCACTGGCCTTGGGACATGTGCTTTGTAGTTAATATGAGGTAGAAGGGAGTTCTGACTTCTGTTTGTGAACCTACCATTGAGAAAACCACAGAATTCAGGCATCTGTCTAACATACTGCGGCCTTTTTGCATGGTGCCAGGTGGAGACATTGACATTACAAAAATTTCAGCACAATTATTGTCAAAGGGATCTAAAATTACCTTTAAAAGTGACAACAGAACTTGTATCCGATTTTTAGAAACTGGTAGATTTAAAAAGCAAAAGTCTTCACCTGTGTCCATGGAATTTTCTGATACTTTTATCTTTAACCTTATCAATTACATAATGAGCAGAATCTCAAAATTTTCAACCACTGACACTGCTTTTAATTTTTTTTATGTGTATGGGTGTCATGCCAGCATGTATGTACCTGTGTTGTACAGTGCCCATGGAGGACAGAAAAGGACGTAGGATCCCCTAGAACTGGAGTTATGGGTGGTTGTTAGCTGCCACGTGGGTGCTGGGATTCAAACCCAGGTCCTCTGCAAGAACAGCCAGCGTTTTAACCACTGAGCCATGTCTCCAGCCCCAGCATTCCTTTTATACACATTTAAAAGTCTTTTAGATAGCAGTGAGCATGTATTAGCACCTAGACGCCAGGCTCCCTAACTTCACCGTTACTCGTGAATTCTAACCCACCGGTAGACACACAGCTCTCTTAATATTATAAAATTGCCTAATGGCTTCAATGTGTGTTGAATAGATTGCATAAAGAGAGAGCTTCCATAAAGCCTGCCTTTCTTCTCTGGCATTGGAAGCCCTAAACAAGCAGAGAAGGGGCAGCTGAACAACAGTTCTTTATGGGGACAGCAGAGCCCTCCAGCTTGTTCCGGTCACTGTAGCACCAGCTGCAGTTCTTCATTAGCTGATCCATTTTGCAATGAATAAGCTCAGGAAAGTTTAGAAGAAATCATGCATATATAGACTCCTCCTCTGTAATATTTGTTCTCCATTCACCTGTGCCCACTTCTACACATGCATTGACCTACACAGTAGTCCACAGCTACCTGCAAACTGTGAATGTGCAAAGAAGCTAGCCTTCGAGAAAGAGAAATGAAAAGTAGTGGGGGGGGGGGAGAGAAAGAGAGAGAGATGAAAAGTGGCTTCAGTTGCTCTAGAAGTTCCATTTTAATGAGGCTTTTACACTTTATAGGATAGCTGCTAAATTGGTATTGTGTACAGAAATATTTTTACTTCAGTGTTTTCTTTGGCAGTGTTGAAAGTCTATTATCTATAGTATTTTTCCATCCAACCCTGAATCTTCCACTTTGGTTTGATTTCTCTCTGGGATATATTGTGAGCTGGCCATGGTATTCTCCCAGAGGGCTACATCTCAGTGATTGTCTCTGGGAAAGAAATGTCTCTGAATACAAACGATTTTGGAAAAACCATTCTTTGTTGGCAGGCCTCATACACTATTTCTCAAACAGAAATAACTTTCTAGAGCATCATCAACAATGATAATTTGTCCATGTCCCTCAAAGCGTTTCAGTTATTACTATATTTTAATAGCACAAGTAACACAATTTCCAGTATTATTAAGAACATTATGATTAAATTTTTTACTAATGAAGGAAATTCTCATGCTGGAAATTTGAGGTCAAAAGTGCTGAATGAATCAGATCCATTCATGTTGTATTCAATCAGCTTTTACTGAATGCCTGTTGAATACCTCCTCATGCACAGTGAGTCCAGTGTTGATTAACAAGGAGTTATCCACATGCTGAACAAGCAGGTAACCACAAGGCTATGGAGCTGCTTTCTTAGCAGCAGTCAGACTTCAGGAACCAGGGTCCAGTGCTATACAAAGAAATTATTTTAAAATAAGAAAATGGTGTTTCTGATGACTTGCCAGAGTCAGGTTATCCTGAGAAATGGCTTTCCTTGATTAGTTTACACAGAAATACTGCACTGGTGCCCTACTTTGTGGAGCTATATACAAAGCATACATTGTATTGTATATCTAGTTATTATGACATGTAAGTACTACTTTGGCCTAGCCTATGAATTCCTAGTAAGATTTTACTCTCTTGAACCAAAAAGTATTGAAGAAATGATGAAAACATAACATCATTGTGAGTACTCACCCAACACACATACACAGCAAGAGATTGAAGGGCCCTCCTGGAAACTGATCTGAACTTGTCTAAGATGTTCCAGATATGAATTTACTGTGGTCAACAGATATTGTAAGAGAGTACTACTTATGATATCAATGTATTGTAATATTCTGAGTCCATAATTAGAATGGTTAGCATTGGTCTGAGTAAAAACACTGGTGCCTAATGCTGTCTTCAGAGCACATTTTATACCCAGTGTGTGGTTACATGCTGGTTACTTTAATAAGTTATCTTGCTGGGTCCTTAGACATAGGTGCATTTTATTCTATTACAATTTTATAAAAAGATTTTGTGATAGAAATTTAAATAAATAATTGAAAGTGGTTTTAAAGTGGTTTTATAAGGAGAAAACTTCTTTTTTTTTTTTTTTTTTTTTTTTTTTTGGTCTTTTTGAGACAGGATCTCCCTGTAGCCCCAGCAAAGTTTGAATATTTAGCCTCAGGATCTTGAAAATCACCAACCCCTAACCTTGCAAGTTCAGTGGTTCTGCTAGAACTCACAGCTTTCAGAATTCTAGGCAGTAACCTTATTTGCTTAGGAACCAAAGTCAGACATACTTTTTATAAATATTATGCATTTAAAATGACTTGCAAAATCATCAGTGTGTAAGACATTCAATCATTGATATTCTATTGTTTTACCAAATCTGTAATATTGAGTTTCAACTCACTTCTAAGAACAGGTAAATACTCAGGCTGCCTCTCATGTTATAAGGCCTGCATGGCCTCCTCTTGCTGTTAGTTTGTTTTGCTGAGTTCCACCACTAGAGGAAGCATCATCATTGCTATCTTTTTGAACTCTAGAACTTTGTTACTGCAGTTTACCCTATTGTGTATACTTGTAAGGTAGGCACATGAAAGACAGGCAAATTTTGGATAAACTTTCTGGAGGTAATGTATTATAAGCCACGAAATATTTGCCCTTTTTGTTAGACATGGTCTCTGCTGAGAATGGTAGGACATGCTTATAAGCCCAGTGATCAGGAGATGGAGGTAGGAAGATGAACTCAAGGCCAACCTTCGCTATATAGCAATTTGGAGACCAGCCTAAGCTGCATGAAATTATGTCCAAACCACTTCCCACTTCACCCCCCAATAAACAGACATGGTAGCACACACCCATAACCTCAGCATTCAGGAGACAGAGGCAAGAGGATCACTGCAAGTTAGAGACATACACAGCGAGACCCCCATCTGGAGAAAAGGAAAAAAAGGGGGGGGGCTGGTCTTGCTATTGCAAGGCTGGTCCTGAACTTCTGGACTCAAATGATCCTGCCTCAGCCTCCCTGGGTATGATAGGCACGTGACTAGAACTACATGTGCCTATCACACCCAGCTTCCTGTTTTTTGAGCCTTTCTATATAACCACAAACAAACCTAAAGACATCAGTTATAAAATACTTAATATTAAATGTCAAAAAATATTTTATAGTTTTAAGACATGTAATTAGAGTGGAGATAAGAGAGCCCAGAAGTGGAATCATTCCTCAAGAACAGGTTTCAGGAGTTTCTTGTATTATGGGAAAAGGAGTGACAGCATAGCACTGTCCTAGGGGAGAAAGGGAGGAAATCAAAGGGTGTTTTATTCTGTGGCATGGAGGATTGAATAGGACTTTTTAAATAACAGTAGATTTGCTTTTACTTATAGAAATCGACGATGAATTCATCAAAAACTTGAAAATACTGATTCCTTGGTTACTTAGTCCTGAGAGCCTAGATATTAAAGAGATCAATGGGAATAAAATCACCTGCCGAGGCCTGGTGGAGTACTTCAAGGTATCAGTCTCCTTTCTAGAGTTCTTGTGAGTGCATGGACTTGGCATGCACTGGAGCATACATCCTTCAAAACAAAATTCTAAGGGGGCAAAGGTATGAGGCATCCATTAAAAGGCTTTGAAAACTATGAAACACCCCAGAGAAGTCTGCTTTTTGAGAAAATAAAATGTTTTGAGGAAACTCCTTACAGGTAACTTTACTATGTCATTTTAACTGGAGGGAAGTGTTTTGAAATATAAATGTATCAAAGAATAGAAAAACCTTTTGGGGAGGTGTTCTCCAGAGTCCATAACATATTGAAATTTACCTTCGTTCTTAAGCTTGTTCCCAACAGAACCATCCTTTCTTCCTGAAGAAAATTCTTCCACATTTCCCTTTATTTTCAGTGGAATTTTAAATCTGCATTTACAGATTTAAATGAAGAAATTCAACCTAATTTGTGGACCCAAGATTATTAAATTTTTAATTCATGTTTTACCATTTAAACTGCCTTTTGTGTGATCTATTTTTCTTGATCACTCTGGACATAATTATTAATCTAAAATTTGAACTTTTATTCTAACACCATGAATAAGCTTAGAGCTTGGACTCATGATCCCTACACATGTCTAGCCCATGGAGCATATACCATCAGCAGGGCATGAGTAATGAAAACAGAGGCTGCTCCCATCAGAGGGATTTGAAAACACTGAAGGGAGACGAACTGGGACAGCACTGGTGGGTGGACCTTCTGAAAAGGGCATTTCAGAAGGAAGGAACAACATGGACCAAAAAGAACATTAAAGCGTGAGAAAGAGTAGTTCTAAGATCCAGAAAATATTTTTTGAAATGTCAAGACCCTAAAATACAATGTAGCATAATTAGAGAAGTGTTAGATGAAACTGCTTGACTGTGGGTCTTTTTTCCTTTTTAAACTTTTAAAAATTTTATTTTAGGCTTATATAAAGATCTATCAAGGTGAAGAACTACCACATCCCAAGTCCATGTTACAGGTATTTATCAGGAGGTGTGATATTTTAAGACATATTCCTGCTTGTAATCACATATGTGCTAACAGACAGAATGACCTGTTGGAAGATCCGTTTCCTAATCACCCATCTGTGCTCACCTAAACATCTTCACATGCACACACAGTAGCCTTACTTAGGCTGAGAACCACTTTGCCAAAGAATTTCCCTTCTCTTTGTACTAAATTTATTTGAAAAACTCAAACTCATACTGTGATTTAGATTGGTTTGTGCAACAAGGAATAGAAAAGCAGATCCATGATTTAAACAAGAGATTGTCATGACTAAACACTTCGAGGAAGGAGAAACTAGTTTTATTCACATAAAAGTTTAAGTTCTTAAAGTACCTTTCTGTTATCATAGGTACACTGGTTCCCCACAACATACATATTTAATGAAAGACTGTATTTTTTAAAGTAGAAGCCATTCAAATGAAAATTCATTTTAGCATTATGCCTTATCGAGTAAAAAATTCTACATTTCATACATCTTGAAAATTTAATTTTAATGATTTTTAAAATGTCATAGAAATACTCCAACAGTTTCAAGTTACTTGGTGGCTTTGGTTTCTTGCACATTTTTTGCACATGATGCTCTGAAATGTGAACTGCCTGTGGACTTTAAAAGAACTCCGTTTTACATTATAATTTGTACTTTGTCCAAAGGCCACAGCAGAAGCTAACAATTTAGCAGCTGTCGCAACTGCCAAGGACACATACAACAAAAAGATGGAAGAGGTAAGAATTCAATACTATTTAAATAAAACCAGTATTTCTTCATTCAACTATTTTTTTAAATATTTTTTAGAAGAAGCATATTATTACAGCTTTAACATGCCCAATAACAGTTTCCAGAGCAAAGACACAGCTCCTTCAAAAGTGGCTATAAAATTTCTAGGTACGCTGTTGAAGCAATACAGTTATACAATGTTAAACTCAGTATAAGCACTGTAAGACAAAAAATTGAATGAGTTTTTAACCCTCAAAAAATATCTCCATTTCATTCTAAAATATACTGTTTCTTACAGAAAGACTCATTGTTTTTGCTGCTAACACTGAGATGTTTGCACGTGTGTCTCTAATCTATATGTATCTGATTATTACTAGTCATAATCGTTTGCACTCGGATCCTTGGTGCCTGTATGTGTTTATAAAGTCACTGGGTAGATTTTGATGGTAATGTTTATCGCCTCTACTAATTACCATGATGTAAACTTTTATGCTTCCTCCTCAAATATAATACATTTTTTAATGTGTTGAATTTTTTATCACACAGAACATCCCAAACCATCTTATTCAACTATACACCCACTTCCCAGATGGCACCCTCCCATAGCCTCCCTCCCCCGACTAGAGCCCTTTTACTCTGATATCCCTGCTACTGTCTGCTGCGTTGTCGGCACCACCAACTATTCCCCACTACTTGTCCATATGGTGAATCTAGTCAGCCTATCTAGAGGTCTTTGTTTTAGGAGGGTCAGCTGTTCCTCTTCTACCAGCAATCAGTTGTCAATATTCCTTTAGAGAACCTTGGGGTCTTCTGTACATTTTCCCAGTTCTATGCTGGGTTACTATCTGGGAGTCCCTTTGGCCACCCTGACCAATAACTCAAAAGAAGGTATCTCCTATCTGGCATTGTTGCTTGTTATGTAGCCTTTAGCTATACATATGAACTCTTGAAAAATTATATAGGCCCCTTTAATCTTTGGTTTTACTTTCCTTTTGGGTGTTTAAGGCCATACAGTTGGCCCAGATAAACCAATTTATGTTTACTCTTAAGGTCGTTTGAGGATCTGTTCCTCAGGAGTCACATGGGCTTGGGAGGAGCCCCTGGCTCCTTTCTTTTACCAGTTTCACCTATTTGAAGATAAGTCAAAGGTCCTACTCGACCATGGTTGGCTTCACTTGGAAGCATGGAAGAAATGGTTCCTCTGTGTTGACCCTCGTCTTTGTAGACTGGAAAATGGTTCACGTCCATCTCATGGGGTCTCCTCAGCCTCCTTGATCAAGAGGACAGGTGACCCACCACAATTACAGGACATTTTGGGAGATGCTCATATTCCCCTGGAACTAGCCAACCAGGGGGGCAAGGAGCAAAAACTGTCCTTTATGTCCCTATGACCAAATTAGTATAGGCCCCAAAGCATGTCTGTTAAACATCCAAGAGGTTAGTTCCACCAGCCTGGTACTTTTAATTACTGTGTGCCATGTAGATAAATCTTTGGCAAAGTCCAATTGTTCTCAGGTAAACCTTACCTAGCCATATATTTCTTGATCTGGTACGTATAATTTGTCAGTAGGTTGTTGGTGTAATATGGTTCCCTCTGGTTTTTAAAACTAGTGAGGAATTCTTTATCTCTCACATTGTCTCACCCCTCCATCATGGTTTTCCCACTTAAGGTGCCCCCATTTTTCCCCTTTCTCCCTTAATAATACCCTTCTCTTATGGTCCAACCTCTCTTGAGCCCCTTCTTTCCCTTTATCCCCTAGGTTCCTTGTATACCCTTCCCTTCCCCCTCCCTTAAACTAACCCATTTTTTATCCATATCTCCCTATTAACGCCTGTTTCCTACTGTTCTTTTCTTTCAGGTTCTTTCTTTTCCTTTACCTCCGTTTCCTTTCCATTATCCTGGTTCCTGTAGTTATGTCTGGATACATACTCACTTATCAGGGTTTGGTTCTAGGATCCACATATGAAGGAGAACACATGCTGTTTTTGTTTTTTGTTTTTCTAAGTCTGTGTTACTTCACTTAGTATAACAGTTTCTAGTTCCATCCATTTACCTGAAAATTTCATGATTTCATCTTTCTTTACTGCTGAG